GCGCTGTTATTAATTCTAGTGCTTCTTTGAAAAGTCCTTTGAGGTCACAAAATTTAAAAGTTGTATTGTGCTTAGCTATATAATTTTTAACCTCTGCCCATATGAGCTCAATGGGATTGAGCTCGCAATGGTATGGAGGTAAACGGAGCACAGTTTTATTTTGACTTGCTGCCATTTCGTCAATGGCGTATTTTTGATATTCCGCCTTGTGATCCTTGACAATTCTTAATAATTGTACTTTCAGCATTGCTTCTTCAAAGTTGATATTTTTCGAGCGGAGCCAATTTTGAACATCAACTTTCCTTGTAGCCGTTGTTGGGACCTTCTCCATTCTTCGAGAATGATAAGGCGCATTATCCAACACAATTACTGCGTTTTCCTCTAAGTTCGGTAAAATTTTTGAAAACCACTGTTCAAATGATTCGCCATTCATTTCCTCGTGGTAATCTCCAGTTTTCTTAGACTCAAAGCACCACAGACCGTCAACAACAAATCCATCCTCACTGCCAATATAGCAGATAATGAGCCTTTTCCCTTTACCTGGAAATCGAACTACTAACTGGTGTAGATTTATTTCAATAAGCGAACCTTTTTCAAATGTTTTCATCACATTCAGCGAAAAAACATTGAGACATGAGTATCAGATTGCTATAATTGGGATTATTTAGTCATATTGAAAGAAAGAATATTGAACGTCGTATGATTACTCAGCGCTTCACAATTTAATTTAAAGTTATAAACCTTTAAAAAATGAATGATCAGGAACCTGAAATACGCGCAAATATTAATATTAACAAATTATAACTTTATAAAGCTTAAAGTATGAATTAAAATGATTAAAAATATTAGGAACGGTACACAATATAAAACTTAGTAACTTTTTTTAAGTTTATAATATTCGACATATTTTAAGATTATATTAAAAATTATTGAAATATCGAAAACACATAAAAACATGGCTTAAAAAAGTTCTAACAAATGAAAATGACAATAAAACATCCACGCATTTTATCGAAAGTTATAAAAGTTTTGTTACTTGTAATATGTTTTATCTGCCCCCTGGAATTAATGTTTAGAACCTTGTCCCAAGGTTTGAAAAACATCCGATTGTTGTCTATTACTCGTATTTACCTGCTGGATTTTTAATCCGATGGACAGTCCATCTAGAAAGGCCCTCCTGGATGAAGTTACAGAATCATCAACCCATACTTTACTTGTAGTGTGTCCTGCGTTTACCCACGTTTCATCAAGGTAATAAATGTTCCTGTTTTGATTTCTATATTTCCCAATTTTTGTTAAATAATCCCTCCTCCATAGCACAATTTCCTCTCTATCCAGTAGTAAACTATTACGACCCCGTTTTTTCCATTTGAAATTTAAATGCTTCAGTAACGCATGGAAAATTGATCGTTTGAAATTTGGCAACGTTGTATCTCCATTTACCTCCTGCAGTACTTTATCTATAGTAGGTATTTCATTCCTAAAGAAGAATTCATGCACTTTCCTCCTAATCGCATGCTTATCAGCTTCATCCAATGATTTAACAATACTTTTGCGATGTTTACTGGTCATTGGCTCAGAAAAGGTGTGATTTTTTTTGTATTGTCTTAACACATTAAACACTGATGCGCGACACACCCCAACTTTGTGAGAAACCTTCACAACAATTTCTTTGATGGTTGATGCCTCGTTCTCCTCGCGCTCGATCTTATATATATTCAAAATGACCTCTTTCATTTCTGCACTCAGGTGTCTTTTTTTAGAGGGTTTCCTAGGTGGACTACAGGAGTTTACAACTTCATCGGCAGTATCTGTACTACTGGGCATTTTGCGCAAGCAGTTGATAACAACAACAATCAATAACAAGGTATAACAACAACAACGACAAACTCAACAACTTAATAAGATAACAAACGAAAACGTCCAAAGAAATATCAAATTGCAATGATGCACACGACATACGTAACACGTCTGAACCTGAATGTGACTCTGCCTTGATACGACTGCTCTGCCGCTCGGCATAGGCATTTAATTGCGAATTGACCAATGAGGGCTCCTGTTTTACGTCGAGACAGCGGCGTTAGCGTGAAAATCACCCGAACCTTTTGTTTACATCCGGTCTATCTCTTATCTGAATATACTGTAAGTATGTACAATAAGTTTAACAAACGATTCTTCGAGTAATTTTAAGACAAAAAGTTTATATAAGCATATGTCCGCAGATTCTTCGTTCTCCTGTCGTCCCATTCAATCCCGGCGCCACCAGTGTTGCCAAATCGAACGCTTCGTTGCCAGTCTCGTCACTTAATTTACAGACCTCGTACTATTCTGTCGAATAAGTTGCACTTACAAAGCGAAAACACAAGTCGAATTAAAATAGAATTTACCACTAATCGATGACCCACCCCGTATATAAATTCATATAGCAGTTCACTGCCATCTTTGCGGTATAATTTATGTATATTAGAGGTTATTACATTAAATGGATAAGTGGAGCACTTTATGTTTAAACTGTTCGTACTTTTTGTTTCTATAGTGGCATTTAAAGCAAGCTAGGTCAACGTATTGGTCAATTTAGCCAATGATTATGTGCCAGTTATGATATCTGCACATGGAATTGATTTGTCTTGCAAGTTGTTCATAGACTTTGTTTTGCTGTTCTCCTCTGATGTATGCACCATAACACTTAAAAACGTAAAGAGTGATGTCTTAATAAATTGGATATAATAATAATAATAATAATAATAGTAATAATATAATAATAATATTATTTATTTACTCAATGTACAAAGGTAACAAACAATATGAGTAAATAAATATAAAATCAAAACAGGCCCAATAGAAGGCATCGCCTGTACATGGACCAATAATTTAAGTTGAAACTGTAGAATGTAAATGACAAAAAAGGACAAAAATTAGCTACAGTAGATTATGTATTTAGTTGATGTTCGTATTGATGAGTTTATGAATTTCAGTCCTAGACATAGAATGTAGCCACTTTTTTAAATTTCTTTTGAAACAATTTCCGAAACGTAAATCTTTTAAGTCTTTAGGTATAATTTCATAAAATTTAGGCGCTAAATAGAGATATGATCGCTGCATTATAGATTTATGCGGTTGAGGAACTACTGTGCCACGAATTTTGTACCTGGTATAATGATTATGTTTAATTTTTTGGTCGGTGTTTACAAATTTATGGTAGTGAGTGATACTGTGTAAGATATAAAGCTGTCTTATATCATACATTCGAACATCTGCATATAATTTTTCAGTGGGATAAAGTTTCGGTTTTTTAAATATCATTTTTAGAATACTTTTTTGAAAAACATCTAAATTATAGATATGTGAGGAACATGCAGCTCCCCATGCTAATATACCATATGTGAGATGAGGCTCAATCAGAGCATGGTATAATGTTTGAAGATATTTTTCTGTCAATATATTCCCAAGGATTTAATTTTGTAGGATACAAATCTAACTTTCTTTAAAATATAATTGACATGGATGTCCCATCGTAAGTGAGGATCCAAGACCACTCCGAGGTATTTTATGTTGGGCACTCTATCAATTTGTATTTTTTGATCATTAATATTGAAGGAGAAATTTGTGTAATTTGGCAGATGTCTAGCATAAGATCCAAATGGTAAAAAATGTGTTTTAGAGTAGTTAATGCTTAATTTTCTACTGTTAAACCACCGAATAATTTTGATAAAATCATTTTCAATTACATTTTTCAGATCAGACCAGTCAGTGCCTTCATATAATATTGCAGTATCATCTGCAAAACTAGTTATTTTGCCAACACAATTAATTTGGAAAATATCATTTAAATATACATTGAATAATAGCGGACCTAAGACAGTTCCTTGTGGGACATCACACTTAATATACATTTCTTTACTAAATGATCCTGATATCTGCACAGATTGTGGGCGATTTGACAAATAACTTTCAATCAGTGAGTACGCGTTTCTTCTGAAACCAATTCTCTCCAATGCTTCTAATAATAATTTGTGATTAACTGTGTCGAAAGCTTTCTTTAAATCAACAAAAATGCAGATTGAAGGGATTCTGTTATCAATATTTTGATATATTTGATTTACAATTTTAGTTATTGCATCCGATGTAGCCTTCCCTTCTGTAAATCCATATTGATTTTCACTTAAAATTTTGAATTTTGTGAGGTATCGAATCATTCTAGTAGATAAAACTTTTTCAAAAACCTTTGCTACACTGGATATTATTGATATTGGTCTATAGTTGTTAACATCTGTTTTTGTTCCTGATTTATGTATCGGTATTATATTACCTTTTTTTAAAATTGAGGGATATATGCCAGATTCAAAGCATTTGTTGATTAGGTAAGTGATGATGATCGTACTCATTGGAAACTGTTACAGTTTTTTTAAGTAGATAACAAATCGACCAAACTAACAAAGTTGTAAAGAAACTTTTTAGCCGTAAAAGCTCTCTTTTGTTGTTGCCTGAACTCCAAAATGCTGGCTGAATGTTGTGTGAAATGCAAATTTGTTTTCTTCAGCATGTTTGCTATGAAATGACGTGTCTAAATCATTCTTGTAGCATAGTTATACAACATCTTATAGGACAAACTGTTGCATAAACGTTGGTAACATTTATACAACAAACCCTTGTTGTTTTAGTGTGCAAAATTACTACTTTATCCAACAAATTGCTCCCAACTGAAAAATACTCATGCAAAAATTACACTTTATTATTCTCATATCATCGAAAGCTATTTTTCTCCAGCCAGCGTGACATCCAAGAGCGGCTTCAAATGGGCATTAGTATCAGTTCCTCCATACATCCTCCCAAATCATAGGCCATTCCTCGTTCTGTCATCTCCATCATTCTAGTTTACATCTTCGCCGGTCTGCTGGGGATGGCGTCTCATTACTTTGTGCCTTCAGAAAATATCACCTCGGTTTTTCACTTCCGGCGTAAGCAAACGCCTGCAGACCATGGTCGCACAGCGGGTGATCGTCTGTCTTTACTTCTTCATCCACTTTGCAAATTGAGGTGGACAGAATCGATAGCGGGATTCATCGTTTGGCGTTTTGCATATTTGGTCTCACCGAAGCTGCGAGGAATTGAAACGATTCAAACGTCGTTAGTGTGCATTTTATATTGACAGATTGGACGCTAGCCTAAGGAACTCGAGGATATACAGTATATTCAGATAAGAGATAGACCGGATGTAAACAAAAGGTTCGGGTGATTTTCACGCTAACGCCGCCGTCTCGACGTAAAACAGGAGCCCTCATTGGTCAATTCGCAATTAAATGCCTATGCCGAGCGGCAGAGCAGTCGTATCAAGGCAGAGTCACATTCAGGTTCAGACGTGTTACGTATGTCGTGTGCATCATTGCAATTTGATATTTCTTTGGACGTTTTCGTTTGTTATCTTATTAAGTTGTTGAGTTTGTCGTTGTTATTGTTATACCTTGTTATTGATTGTTATTGTTATCAACTGCTTGCGCAAAATGCCCAGTAGTACAGATACTGCCGATGAAGTTGTAAACTCCTGTAGTCCACCTAGGAAACGCTCTAAAAAAAGACACCTGAGTGCAGAAATGAAAGAGGTCATTTTGAATATATATAAGATCGAGCGCGAGGAGAACGAGGCATCAACCATCAAAGAAATTGGTGTGAAGGTTTCTCACAAAGTTGGGGTGTGTCGCGCATCAGTGTTTAATGTGTTAAGACAATACAAAAAAAATCACACCTTTTCTGAGCCAATGACCAGTAAACATCGCAAAAGTATTGTTAAATCATTGGATGAAGCTGATAAGCATGCGATTAGGAGGAAAGTGCATAAATTCTTCTTTAGGAATGAAATACCTACTATAGATAAAGTACTGCAGGGGGTAAATGGAGATACAACGTTGCCAAATTTCAAACGATCAACTTTCCATGCGTTACTGAAGCATTTAAATTTCAAATGGAAAAAACGGGGTCGTAATGGTGTACTACTGGATAGAGAAGAAATTGTGCTATGGAGGAGGGATTATTTAACAAAAATTGGGAAATATAGAAATCAAAACAGGAAGATTTATTACCTTGATGAAACGTGGGTAAACGCAGGACACACTACAAGTAAAGTATGGGTTGATGATTCTGTAACTTCATCCAGGAGGGCCTTTCTAGATGGACTGTCCACCGGATTAAAAAATCCAGCAGGTAAATACGAGTAATAGACAACAATCGGATGTTTTTCAAACCTTGGGAACAAGGTTCTAAACATTAATTCCAGGGGGCAGATAAAACATATTACAAGTAACAAAACTTTTATAACTTTCGATAAAATGCGTGGATGTTTTAATGTCATTTTCATTTGTTAGAACTTTTTTAAGCCATGATTTTATGTGTTTTCGATATTTCAATAATTTTTTAATATAATCTTAAAATATGTCGAATATTATAAACTTAAAAAAAGTTACTAAGTTTTATATTGTGTACCGTTCCTAATATTTCTAATCATTTTAATTCATACTTTAAGCTTTATAAAGTTATAATTTGTTAATATTAATATTTGCGCGTATTTCAGGTTCCTGATCATTCATTTTTTAAAGGTTTATAACTTTAAATTAACTTGTGAAGCGCTGAGTAATCATACGACGTTCAATATTCTTTCTTTCAATATGACTAAATAATCCCAATTATAGCAATCTGATACTCATGTCTCAATGTTTTTTCGCTGAATGTGATGAAAACATTTGAAAAAGTTTCGCTTATTGAAATAAATCTACACCAGTTAGTACTTCGATTTCCAGTTAAAAGGAAAAGACTCATTATCTGCCATATTGGCAGTGAGGATGGATTTCTTGTTGACGGTCTGTGGTGCTTTGAGTCTAAGAGAACTGGAGATTACCACCAGGAAATGACTGGCGAATCGTTTGAACAGTGGTTTTCAAAAATTTTACCGAACTTAGAGGAAAACGCAGTAATTGTGTTGGATAATGCGCCTTATCATTCTCGAAGAATGGAGAAGGTCCCAACAACGGCTTCAAGGAAAGTTGATGTTCAAAATTGGCTCCGCTCGAAAAATATCAACTTTGAAGAAGCAATGCTGAAAGTACAATTATTAAGAATTGTCAAGGATCACAAGGCGGAATATCAAAAATACGCCATTGACGAAATGGCAGCAAGTCAAAATAAAACTGTGTTCCGTTTACCTCCATACCATTGCGAGCTCAATCCCATTGAGCTCATATGGGCAGAGGTTAAAAATTATATAGCTAAGCACAATACAACTTCTAAGTTTTGTGACCTCAAAGGACTTTTCAAAGAAGCACTAGAATTAATAACAGCGCAAAAATGGGAAAACTGTATTAAGCACGTGAAAGACAAAGTTGAAAAGAGAATGTGGGAACTGGACAATATTTTAGAGGAACAAGTCGAGCCATTCATTATTGACGTTGGTGCTTCAGGCAGTAGCGATGATGAAAGCTCATCAAGCTCATCTTTCCAATAAAAGATGTCGTTCATCAAATTCGGTAAGTTATAAGTAATTATATAGCTACTGTATTTTTTAATTAATTATTGACATTTTTGAACCTATTTTGGCAAAACCTGTTCAAGAATCTACTTTCTGACAATGTTCAACCATGCACATTTTTTTACGTTTTGAACGTTTTAATTTGGTTACATATTTACCTAGAAATCAAAAAATATACTAATCAATATTCTAAAAGCAATTTTAAGAGATATACGATTATTTTTAATTTAGGCTAATTTAAACGCCATTTTGAGATTATATTCGACTGTATTTCACCAAACATCAGGCGGCATCCGAAGCTGGAAATCGAAGCGAAAATTTTGAAACCTTTATGTATATTTACATCATTATATATTTCTTACCCCACCCCCACATGATCCTATATCCATCACCAATCGTATACACATCGAATTGTGCTAATTTACTACAAAGTTACGCAAAGCAGCATCTACTATCTAAAATATGTACTGCGTGACTCTTAATACGTCGCTGCCGAATGTTACAGCGTTCGATGATCACGTGGTCTTGTTTATGTCCGGTCTATCTCTTATCTGAATATACTGTAGAGTGGATTGTTTTTTAAATTGGGATTAAAACTACATTCTTATGCCAGTATTTGAAATGTGGAAATAGCTCCTAACATATCGATTCTATTCACACCAAGGTACCAATCTCGGTAACCATCAAATACAGATATTTCTCGATCACAAAAATATGACAACAGGAACAAATAGCATTGAAACATTTATTATTATTATTATTATTACAATTATTATATTACAAGTGTCATGGTAAAACAAAATCTGAAACCGGCTGCTTAACATAGGGACGCGAAAATTAATTTTGCTTAATATTAAGGGGCAATCAATTTGATTGTTTAGTGCTTTATATAATAATCTTAGCGCCGATAAATCACGCCTTAGCTGTAACGGATCAACTTGAAAGATCCTTAACAGCGCCGAATGGTCAGAACCCCTTTCAGGGTAGTGACCGTAACACCTAAAATAAATATATCGCAATGCTCGCTCTGTAGGTTTGATAGGTAGAAGACCAGATGACAGATGCGTGCTCCAGCTTACTCGTAATAAAAGTGAAATACAGGAGCTTTAATGTTCTATCAGCGAAGCCAGACCAATTTCTAACGCAATATGGTTTATATGTTGCATTCACCATATGGAGGATGTGGTCATTAAATATTAGTTTAGTATCAAACTCTACCCCCAAATCCTTGAAAGTCGAGGTTCGTTCTAGCAGGTTGCGATCAATGTTATAGTTAACTTGTTCCTTACTAGCTATTTTGTATCAAGATAAATAATGATATATAATATTATTGAATGAATAAAGTATATAGTTAACACATTTATCCTTTTCAGGCTAAAACTTTATGTTGGAGATTTATCAAGCGATGACTTTTCCACTCCCAGAAAAGCAAAGTCTAATTATCAGTTGATGAAAACCTCCCTGACGAGATTGAGAAAAAAAGTAAAAAGTCTCCAAACAAGTGTTGGTGCCTTGCGGAGAAGAATAAAAACTCTAAGTGGTTTATTGAAACTTTTGAAGCAGAAGATGCACATAACAGGTTCAGCTAAAACTGTATTGTAGGCAAGCAGATTGATGAAAACTCAGTGTCCCAGATATCCGTATTTATTTGTTCGGTGCAATCGATCAACTTTTTTTCAATATAATAATTTTCATCAACACTTAACATACCATAACTGGTCAAAATACCATATCATCTTATCACTTTTGCACATAGAGCTTTATTATTTTTTTCTATTAATTATAGCAGTTGATATTCTATTTTTTTATTAGTATTTTGTTTATTTTGTCCAGTACTTGTTACAGAAAGTAGTCATATTGTCATCTACCACAGCAGGTCATTAGACTGGTTATGGTAGATTCAGAATTAAGTATGGATATATTCAGTGTCAATATCTTAGTTTCAATAAGAATATCAAATACCTCTTAGATATCCTAATTAATAGTACTATACAAACAATATCACTACAAATTATGGGTTATTTTAATGATCACCTTTTTGAAGATGACCCTATTGATGGACACTGGATATTTTCAATAAAACTTATTTTGAAAAAGCATTTTTCGTTCAGAATTCTCCATGAAACTGTTAAAAAATCTGATAGTTCAAGGAAAACTAGAATTAGAAGTGTATATACAAAGGCAGTATTATTAATATCATCAATAATATTATCTTTCTGTTATAGGTTGGCCAAATTGTTTTCAATTACGTAATGCTAATTTTATTTGATATTTATCTTTTAACCCTGGAGATACCAGTGCTACTCATCATGTGGTATATACTAAGTGACATATCAATCCGAACACCCAGTTTAAATGGCTTTATTTTAATAAAAGTTGGTGAATGTATTTATCTTACTGTAAATAACAAGTGAAAAACTTTTCAGCCTTATCAGTTGGACATTCCGGTTTTTATACTGCTTTTTTTTAATTCACTAACGCTCTAAAATGAATATTGCAGCCGCAGTAAAGAATCAGCGTTGGCGGATTTTGGTTCTTGACATCCTTTACGATCGGTTACGATGCTAAGAGTACGGAGACCTGTACGATTTCGTCAACTTAGTGAGTTTGATAAGGGCCGTATAGTCGGACTTCGGGAAGCTGGACTTTCTTTTCGGGCAACTGCAGTTAGAGTGCAAAGAAGTGTAGACACTGTGGTTAGGTGTTGTCAGGCGTGGCTTCGAGAAGGCCGTACGCAAAGAGCAAGGAGTACTGGACGTCGCCGTAGAACAACAGACCGTGAAGATCGCCGCCTAAGATTATTGGCCTTAAGGGACCGTTTCTCCACTACCAGGTCCATTGCAAATGAATGGTTTGCAGAACACGGAAGACCTATTGGCATGCGAAGTGTTTACCGACGAATGAAAAGTTTTGGCTTGTTTTCATACCGGCCACACTGGGTCCTCCCTTTAACTCGAGAACACCGACGTAATCGCCTTGAGTGGTGCAGACAACGGTCACTCTGGGATCAGGAATGGAACAGTATTGTCTTTAGTGATGAGTCTCGATTTTGTTTAGGCATGCACGATGGTCGTGCCAGGGTTAGAAGGCGACGTGGTGAAAGGAGGAATCCACAGTTTTTTGTTGAAAGTCATGTTCATCACACTGTTGGGGTTATGGTTTGGGGTGCTATAGCTTATGGTTCCAGGTCACCCTTAATCTTCATCAGAGGTAACATGAACGCGCAGCGTTATATCCACGAAGTTCTAGAACCCCATCTTTTATCCTATCTTGACACCCTGGCAGATCCAACTTTCCAACAAGATAATGCCCGACCACATGTTGCAAGAGTCACAATAGACTTCTTTCAACATAATGATGTCACATTGTTACCATGGCCACCAAGATCTCCCGACTTATCCCCAATTGAGCACGTGTGGGATATGATGGGTAGGGGATTGCTCAATTTGCAACGTCCTCCTCAGACTCTAGAAGCACTTCATGAGGAGTTGGTGGTTGCCTGGAATGAGATACCACAGGAGGACATTGACCACCTGATCAGAAGCATGCCTAGGCGCGTTGGAGAATGCGTAGCATATCAGGGTGCATCCACACATTATTAAAGGTCAAAGGGCTTTAAAGCAGTGCAATCATTTTGAAATTTTTATCATTTACTTATTATGCTTCATTAAGTACTTATACAAAATTTTATTAAAATAAAACCATTTAAACTGGGTGTTCGGATTTATATGTCACTTAGTATAATAATAAGCTCTTTTTAAGGGGTTATAGATTTAGCGCAATAAGTATAAATGGCGGTGATGGAGTCACGTAACAGTGGGGTCCCACTGGTACTCTAGGATTAATAAGCTATTCTGTTGATGTCTTTAATTTGTTAATGTTAATTATACTTTTCCATAATACAGTATAGTTCAATTTTTAATAAAGATATCTATATGACAATCATTTTTTTCTTTAATTCTGCTGGCTCTGTGCTCTTATTAACACTGATACAGTTGTACTAATGAGAGGTAGGTTTGCATTTCATTATTTGTTCTACAAACATGCTATTTTATCCTGTGATAGTATGAACAATTCATTTGAATGAGATGCTATTTCATCGCAGTATACCTCATACTCTTACATTCATTGTAATGTTTAAAATAATACGTTAGGTCATTCAACTCGCATCAAAGGGCGATTACTCACCGAAAACTGGAACAAGGATGTATCACCCAATGACCAGCCGCTTTCTGCCTGATCCGTTCCTTCATGAGCGCCTTTTTCGAGCCGAACAGTTTCATGGCCAGCTTGTTGTCCGTCGGTTGGAAGAGCGCCTGCAGTTGATTCTTGATGAAGCTCTGCTTGCCGGCTTCTGCCGAACCCAGGGGCGTCGGCCCCGGTTCTTCCTTCGGGGTGCCGTACAGCGAGACATCGTCCACGCCGAAGTGCACCTGGAACAAGAGCGAACGTTGTAGATTCGTTTAGATGTGATAGAGGTCGTTCAATACAGGGTGATCCAAAGATAAGATAGTGCGATACACTTTAGATTTTTGGATGGAAAACCCATTGTTTTTTAATTTTTAGATTTTCCATGAAGTTTTTAGTCACTTTTGTGACACTATTTGAGTTTATAACAAAATTCTAGAAATTATGATATAATCCTATACAGGGTGTTCCTTAATGATATGCGAATATTTAAGGAAAAATTAATGTTAGTTTGTTTTATAAACTATGGCCCAAAAATGTTTCTGTAAAAAAACTCGGGGTGTTGAAGTTTTAGGTAAAAAATGGAAATTAATTAATATTTTCAGAACCGCTCCAGATATTTCACTGACATTTAGTACATAGTGAAAGTTAATAAAGCTGCATATTTTTCAATGCAAAAATAATTTTTAGCTTCAACAGTGGCGTGCGTACGGGTTTTGACTTCCATATTTTTCAAGGAAAAAATGGTACGTCAATGGTTTTTTGCCAAACAAAAATAATTTTTCAATGCTCCGTTTAATCTAAAACAAATAATCTCTCTTGAGTTGATTTCTTTCAATGTGCCAGTTTTGATTAAAAAAATAAAAATGGGTTCTATATAAAAAAATAAACACATTAGGGTAATGAACAACAACAACTGACAACATAAACATAACATTAAAACCGACGAAATGATTACAAAAAGTGTTGAAAACGGCCCCCTTCGCTTAGTATGCAAGTTGAATTACTGTCACCGAAATACTTGTTTTTAGAAAAAAACTTTATTTTGATTAACGGTACAAAAGGACTTTTGTGAAACCTTGTCACGACGATGCGTAAAACAGGACGGTTAGACAAGAAGTTACAAGATTTCCTCACACATGGATTTAGTACAATGCAGTAAAAATATAATATGCTGATACAGAGGATGTTAACAAGGCGCGAGATAAGATTCCATAGCGTAGCGACAATGCTAGCAAGAAATAGATGTACCAGGTAATAATTATAATATTATATAAAATACAGGGTGATGATGGATATAAGTTGCATGCTTCCGCCCTCCTCCTCATTGAATTGCGCAATCGTTGAAATATCCCTGGAGTGTTTTTTATTCTATCACAAGCTGCAACTCTTCTTTCTCTTAATTCCTCTACAGTCTTAATGGAAATTGTGTACACAAAAAGAAATCTAAACTGTTAAGGTCTGGGGACCTTGGTGGCCATTCTTGGGGCCCACCGCGGCCAATCCAACGATTTGGATAAACAGTTTGTAAATAATTACGAACCGCTACACTGAAATGCGCTGGTGCACCATTATGCATCTACCACATGTTGTTTCTCATTACTAACGGAACATCATCAAGCAGTATCAACAACAAAAGCCTTATGCACATACAGGAAACTCTAGGAAGCAGAAAAGAGCATAGTAAAATAGATATTGAAGAGGATACAAAAAGTGTTAGCATGCTGAAAAGGGGAAAATCAGCCTCGCATGATGGAATTACAGCGGAGATGCTACAAAATATGAATGCTGAATGTATGGACATGTTCTCAACCTTACTGAATAAGGCATGGGAAGAAAAGCAGGTACCTGATGACTAGAGGGAGGAAATATTAATCCCAATATTTAAGAAAGGTGACACCACAGACTGCAACAATTACAGGGGTATTACACTATTGAGCATTCCATGTAAAATATATGAAAGAATACTAGACAGAAAGCTGAGAGAGTATATTGAAGACAATCTCGACGAGCCGCAAAATGGATTTAGAAAGGGTCACACATATTTGTGTACCTTTGCGGATGATTTGCTACTATGTGCCAGCAACCCAAAATATATACAAGATACGAGTAACCTTAACATCTGGAGTGAAGTGAAGAGCTATTAAAGAGAAATATGAATATTAACATTTCTAAAATAAAAGTCCTGACTACTAGACAAGGGAAAGAACTTAAAATAATCTCGGGAGAAACATATATAGATCAAGTACAGGCTTTCAAATATACTAAGTGACATATAAATCCGAACACCCAGTTTAAATGGTTTTATTTTAATAAAAGCTGGTGAATGTATTTATCTTACTGTAAATAACAAGTGAAAAAATTTTCAGCCTTATCAGTTGGACATTCCGGTTTTTATACTTTTTTTTTTTTAATCACTAACGCTCTAAAAATGAATATTTCAGCCGCAGTAAAGAATCAACGTTGGCGCATTTTGGTTATTGACATCCTCTACGATCGGTTACGATGCCTAGAGTACGGAGACCTGTACGATTTCTTCAACTTAGTGAGTTTGATAGGGGCCGTATAGTGGGACTTCGGGAAGCTGGACTTTCTTTTCGGGCAATTGCAGTTAGAGTGCAAAGAAGTGTAGACACTGTGGTTAGGTGTTGTCAGGCATGGCTTCGAGAAGGCCGTACGCAAAGAGCAAGGGGCACTGGACGCCGCCGTAGAACAACAGACCGTGAAGATCGCCGACGAAGTTCTAGAACCCCATCTTTTACCCTATCTTCACACCCTGGCAGATCCAACTTTCCAACAAGATAATGCCCGACCACATGTTGCAAGAGTCACAATAGACTTCTTTCAACATAATGATGTCACATTGTTACCATGGCCACCAAGATCTCCTGAGTTATCCCCAATTGAGCACGTGTGGGATATGTTGGGTAGGAGATTGCTCAATATGCTACGTCCTCCTCAGACTTTAGAAGCACTTCGAGAGGAGTTGGTGGTTGCTTGGAATGAGATACCACAGGAGGACATTGACCACCTGATCAGAAGCATGCCTAGGCGCGTTGGAGAATACGTAGCACATCAGGGTGCATCCAAACATTATTAAAGGTCAAAGGGCTTTAAAGCAGTGCAATCATTTTGAATTTTTTATCATTTACTTATTATGCTTCATTAAGTACTTATACAAAATTTTATTAAAATAAAACCATTTAAGCTGGGTGCTCGGATTTATATGTCACTTAGTATACTTGGGAATACAAATATAGGAAGGCGGAACAATGGATGAAGAAATAAAAGAAAGATTACCAAAAGCATCGAACCTGTATCATAGCATAAAACATCGTTCATATGGAAAAAGGAAATAAGCAGAAAGACCAAAATCACGGTATATAAAATCCATTTTCAGACCTATCTTGACTTTTGGAAGCCAAAGGTGGGTATTGAACAACCGACAAGAAAGAAAAAAACAAGCAACAGGTGTGAAATACTTGAGAGCAGTAAAAGGAGTGACTAGGAGAGACAAAATTATTAACGAGATTATACGAAGTGATTTAGGGATTAGATCTGTCTTGGAAAAAATTGAGGAAAACCAGTTGAAATGGTTTGGGCGTCTAATCCGCATGGAAGAAACTAGACCAGTCAAAAGAATATGGGACGCTAAAATTATAAAGAGAAGAACTAGAGGGAGAGCAAAAAAGACGTGGAATGGCGGAATTGCATTGACACAGAAGCTGTTTGACAGGCAAGGGACAAAAAGGCTTAGGCAACATTGGTGCACAAGCTTTCAAAACAATGATAAAACAGTGTAAACAATTTGTTATACCTTACACCTATGGGTATCTAAGGTTACAAATTATATATAAATAATTACGAACCGCTACACTGGAATGCGCTGGTGCATCATCATGCATGTATTGATGGCAAATATTTAAGTGTCTACCGATCTTCCTCGTACTCGTTTCAGGATGTTCTTTGACTTTGGGCAGCAGTGCTTCCTCAATTTCAGGTGTTCTCACACTTAGAGGTCTACCTTCATATGTTCCTTTTCGGGCAAAACCAGTTTCAACAAGACGACGATGAATATTATAAAAGGTTCGACTATCTGGCAAAGCACGATCGGGATATCTCTGGTAATAAATCCATTTGGCTTGCTCACCATTACGGCAAGGCCATATACGTAATGCATTTCCGCCACTTCTGCATTTAAATAATTCGCCATTACTAACAAGATTGTAAAAACTAAATAATGAAAAAGATGTCAAAAGTAAGTGACATATTCCAGAGCAATTAGATATTTATTGCTAAATTGCATTCATCAATTATTAAATTAATTTTTTGGACAATAGAACGATTTTTACTTTTTTACTCAAAAATGGCGCATCGAAGGAAAGTAACGCAGGAGAGATCATTCGTTTTAAATTTTACGGAGAGTTCAATAATAATTTTTATTTGGCAAAAAACATGTGCCCGAGTATTAAAAAAACAAAAAACAACTTAAAATTTACACGCACATTAAAGTTAAGGTAAAGATTGATTTGCTATAAAGAGGTAGGTCAATGGCGTAATAAGTGCAGAAAGTGGTGTCAATCTTCCTCTATGCAATAATAAAGATTTTGTTCGAATCTATTCCTCACATTTTCAAGCATGTCTTGAGTTATTTGTCTACGTTCAGCCGCAATCCGCTGTCGGACATATTGAACAGAATCTGTCTTGGCACTGAAAAATTTATTTTTGAAATGTCCCCAGAAGAAAGTAATCTGAGGGACTTAGGCCCGCAGATACACTGATTCGGGAAATGGGTGTTCAAAATCTGTCGTACTCGAATTACATAGTGCGGTGGTGCACTATCTTGTTGGAATAATTAACGTCATTTTCTAATATACTAAGTGACACATAAATCCGAACACCCAGTTTAAATGGTTTTATTTTAATCAAATTTTGTATAAGTACTTAATGAAGCATAATAAGTGAATGATAAAAATTTCAAAATGATTGCAATGCTTTAAAGCCCTTTGACCTTTAATAATGTGTGGATGCACCCTGATGTGCTACGCATTCTCCAACGCGCCTAGGCATGCTTCTGATCAGGTGGTCAATGTCCTCCTGTGGTATCTCATTCCAGGCAACCACCAACTCCTCTCGAAGTGCTTCTAGAGTCTGAGGAGGACGTTGCAAATTGAGCAATCTCCTACCCATCATATCCCACACGTGCTCAATTGGGAATAAGTCGGGAGATATTGGTGGCCATGGTAACAATGTGACATCATTATGTTGAAAGAAGTCTATTGTGACTCTTGCAACATGTGGTCGGGCATTATCTTGTTGGAAA